CCTTGCAGAACCTTGGGTGTCCTGTTGCTTGTCCTCGAGATGGTCCTTTTACAGCTCTTGATGGGTGTGTCATGCTTCGTCCACTCGGTGCCAGCCTTCAGATCATCCCCCGAAACATGTCGCTGACGCAAGGCAAATATGTTGTTCTTGACATTCAGGCTTCACATTTCTTTGCTTTGCAGCACATAGAAGGTTTTGCGATTAAAATGGATGGTGACGACAAGGTTGAAGTATCCATCGGCATGCTATCCTCTATGATGTTGAATCCACGGTACTATTTCTTCAAGGTTGTCCTGGGCATCCCTTCCTCTTCAACTTTGCTTCAGGTGCCGTATTCCATTTCTGGAGGAGCCTTAGCTCGGAAAGTGTATTCGACCCAACTCACCAAATGCCCTTGTGGACACCGTTCCTTTTCCAAAGGGCATGATGTGGCAGCTGTGGTGTACACCTTGGCAGGTCCATGTGAAACGACTGTACGCACCATGCGTTGCAATGCCTATGGGTGCCGCACAACTTTTGGACCTAACTTCCTGCTGGATGATGGAAAGAAGATCAACACAGCCACTTTGGAGAATGTCCCGGATGTTCTGTTTGTGAACAACAAGCTTGGCTTCTCCTTGGATTATTTGAAATATCATTCAGCCTTGGAATTTCGAGGCTTCTTGGCCGCTCGAGCCATAGAGGCTGCTTACAAATCAGTTTTTGACCATGAGCACAGTGAAGTTCGCTTCCGTGCAATGCACGCAGACTGTGTCATGTACTGGCTGGCTTTGCAGGAGCTCTCATTGATTGGGTGCGAGAAAGACATTGTCATTGGAGATGAAATCTCAGAGGCTGCGCTCCGCAAGTATGATGACTATGTGCACAAGGTTGCTTTCCCACCCAAAAAGAGGGCATCAGTGACTGAACTTGTCGGAGATGGTCACTCGAAGGTCCACATCAAATGTGGCGAAACTACCACACATGCAGGACGACCTCGGAAAGACGGTTCTTTGAAACCCTTTGGGCATGGATGGTTCATGCTAGTCAACCCGCAGGATCAACGAATTCTTTGTGTGGTTGCCATGGACAAGCCGGAGAACAACCCAGTGGTCCAGAAGTCGTTGGAGAAAGTCTTGCCTCTGTACCAGAAAGTCAATGGATTCATCATGGACCGTGTCTGTGGTTTCGCACCGACTCATGCAAGTAAGAAGTCCCTCTCCCAAATCAAATATTGGAGCCTTGACAAGTTCCACGCCCACAGGCACAAGAAGACTTGCGTGTACAATCCACTCTACGTCAAGCGTTTGTCTCGGCGATTTGCGAAGACAAATACGTCGGCTTGCGAACAAGTTTTCTCTTGGTTTCGCAATTATGCACGGATTTTGAATGAGGCACGTGCAATTCGCCACACTTTTAAGGTGCTGTACTTTTCCAAATTGCACAACCAAGCTGTGGCTGAAAACAAGGCCAGCTACTTGAACAAGTTCAAGAAAGCTGTGTCTAAGGTAAGCAAAGCATATGCTTGCTAGAACTAGATTTTGGAACAGAACTAGCGCGGAAAAATGAGATGTCTTAGCGCCAACTCCTTGCTTGCATTGTCTGCAGCAGATGATTTGACTGTGGTAGTATCCTTATGCATTCTTCCAAAAATCATCTTCTTTACTGTCATGCTGGCTCTGACAAAAGAAAGTAGAAACACATCTTGCAACTGCATCATCTGCTTCCAATCATCTGGAAATGCCTCACATCTGTACATTAACAAACAATAAGCTAGAAATCATTAAAAAACCTATGAATTAAAAACCCACCCCCCAGCGCAATCCGCTCTCTTTATCATTCTTTATCAATCCAATACAGGTGTGGATCATGCATGATGGACCTGCAAACTTTGTGTGTTTCATTCAGAACCATGCCCTTCTCAAGAACCTACACGTTTGATAGTTCATGCATCTCACGGAAAAATGACACCCTCTAGACTCCCACCACTTCTTGACCCCTTCATCCCCCGCCCGGGCTAGAAAGGAAGGAATCCGTTTGATCAGCTTCTGGTGGACCGAGCCTGGCCTTGCTTTTGCCATGCCTTTTGGGTCGCAGAAGAGTCGCGTTGGTCATGGTCTCTGGTTGCCAGGAACCATGGGAGTGACGAGGTGCGGAACCGCGTGATGCGCGAGGAAGGGCGGGAACCGCGTGATGGACGTCCGGGACAGGACGCGTGGGTTGGGTGATAGGGTGGTGGGTTGGGGATTGGGGCAGATTCATGTGGTTTTCAGTGGAAGAGCTGGGGCACTTGAGATTTTGGGGAGCAGTTTCCCAAATCCCACTGGCAGGGTAGCAGCTTGCCGGGCAGCCAGTTGGGCCAGCCTTTTGAAAGAATTGAAGTTGAAGTGACACCTCCTTCGAAGGGACACACTGAGCAATTTAGTTTTGGTGTTTCAACCCATAGATAGAATATGAGGTGAACTGAGGCAATATGATTCCAGGCAAAGATCACGTGGTATGGAATTTCTTGCTCGTCCTTCATCCTTTTTCAGTTATTCAGTTGGGGTGATGCCCATGTTGAGTTGGTCGATTCATGTAGATTTGCTCCCAAAGGAGCAATCAGATACTTGGTGGTGGGCAAGCATATTTGTGGGGAACTTATGTAGCCCAGACGAACCATACTTTTACCTGAAGTGGTCCGCTTTGGAACTGGTTCCGAACCCCTGACAAGTCATGTACAAAACCCCGAGGCAGGAGCTTTCGAGGCGCATGCACAGGGTGCCAAGAAAAACACATGAGCTCGTATGGGCTTGCCGCAAGAAGGGGGTGGTCGAGACCAACTGCGGCCTACATTTGATCAATTGCAGCTCTGGCGGAGATAGTTCTGTAACAATTTTGCTACCATGAGCTGAAGCATCCATTCTTGAGGGAACATGTCATTTTTGAAGGTACTTAGTAGGTAGTTGTTGTTTTTGCACACGACTAATCAAGATACACATACTGTAGGCCTCTGGGTCCGACACGGCTCCTTGGCACGCCTTACCAAGAGAAAACGGCAAACGGTTTGCTTTTTTCACTTGGTGCGTTTTTTTCATGATTGATGTGTGCGAGTTGTTGATTTCTAGTTCCCCCTAGGGAATGCAAAGCACGCTGGATCCGAAGATTCTTTCATGAACAAGCCCTTTTTTTCTGCCACGATGCTGAAGTTGGAATCCCTGTTAGCACACAGGACCCGCTACACCTGGCCCGACCCTCTACACGACCCTCTTGCACTGATGCTGTGACCCAGCTCGAAGGTGTCTTTGGGCTCATCAGGAATGGTCAAGCAATTGTAGTTGGAAATTCACACGAAAACACACGCGCATCCACTCTTCAGCTCTCTATGGTCATTGCTCATTGGTCCAAGCTGGAACTCAACTGGAAGCAATTGATGAGATTCTCAAGCATTGACCGTTGGTGTTTGTTGTTTGAGTTTTCAATTGCTTCAAGATGAACCTCTCGTTTGAACTTCTGAAAGCTTCAGATCCCTACTAGTTGAACACAAGCCCACTCAGAGCATTTTGATCAGACCAATCGACAGATGGCTGATGTTTATAGTTTGGATGTTATGTCAACAACCCCCCTAGCAGCCCTAGCATTATGTCACTCCTGTTGATGCAATAAATTCAGGAGTACCTTCTAGCTTCAAGAGTGGTCTTTGTCCGAATCGTTTCTGCTGAAGCAGAGCGCAAGAAGACCCAGCTGATTGATACCTTCCATGGCTGACCAAACAGATCCAATCACCTGAATTCAACAACTCACATAGTTATAGTATAATATATCCCAGGTATACATATATATATATATAATTATATAATCTCACAGACCTAGACCTAGAAGTCCTTTTCTCTTGAATCATGCGGCTGGTTTGTGATGCATTGCGCTGACCAACTCCTACACAGCACTTGACCGAGATCTAGACTATACCTTTCCTCACCCAAGATCAGAAGAGGGCAGTTCTCTCAGAGATCTAAGAGCATCCTTCCCCAAGAGAGCTGTGATTCCACAAGAATATGTGAACATCTACTCCTCCGGATCCTGTCGCACGTCCGCCGCCCGCGCCATGCTGCCGGACGTGCCCGCCATGCCACGGCTGGACGAGACGGTGCGGCTCGGATGCGCCCGTCACGACCCGTGCGTCGAGCTGGGGCCGAAAGAAGAGGTTCGCACAAAAATCACGAGGAGTCGATGGACCTTTGAATGATCATGTTTTTTTTTCTTTCATGTCTTTGTTCATTTCTTTGTGGATCATGTACCTGAAGTTGCTACGCAGCTTGGTCAGAACTGCTGTCAAAGGTCTCCAAGCCAACGGAACAGCGATTTGGAATCGACTTGCATTTCGCTTTCTCGTGCCCCCGCCGCAAGAGCAAAAACAGGAACGACGTGTTGCGACGTACACCAACTGGACCGACGAGCGAAGAACACGCACGAGATGTCGCACGCCCATCGCCACGTGTGGACCAATGATGGGTGTGGACCCCCCTTTGGGCTTGGTGAAAAAGCGATGGCATGTCTCAAGGGAGTTGGGCGCTCGCTTTCCCCAGTCGTTTTTTGGGATGTTACTTTTTTTGGCATGTGGAGGAGTGATTTGGTTTCAAGAAACCACAAAACACACAGCTCATAGCTCTGAGAAACCATGTATTCCGTTGGAGGATTTCTACATCATTGACCACCGTGGCTTGGTTTTACTTTCTTTGGACATCTTCATCTTTTTTAGGTGAAAAGAGGACTATATATAGATTAGGCACTCTCTAAGCCGCATGTGAATTGATTCCATGAGCTCTGACTCACAGACTCAAGCCTGGCAGCCTTCCACCGCACCCCTCCTACCCCTCACTTACTCCTCATGACCACTCCTGACCAAAAGCCTCTTCTACTGCTCCTACCCTTCACTTACCCCTCAATCCTGGCCCAAGCTTCCTGTATTCTGTGGGACTCCACCTGAGGAAGAGCACCGTCAACTCCATGGTGGACAGCGTCTCCCAGCTCGTCCACCAGACCGCCGCCCCGCCGCCGCCCTCGGCGCTGCTGGCGCCCCCGGCGCCGCCGAAGCCGCCACCGGCCGCCGAGGCGGTTCCATGCCCTTGCTCCGTTCGTAGCGTTCTTGTTCCTAGTAGCGAACCTTGCTCCTAGTACGGCCAGGAGCTAGTAGCGAAAATGGTTCCTAGTAGCGAGGCCCGAAATGCTCCTAGTAGCGTTCTTACACTTACTGCAGATGATCTGACGTTCTCTAACAACTTAACATAGATAGCTGAGTTAGCTATACGTGGCTAAGTGGTTAGCTAGGATCTCAAAAATCCATTCAAAGCTCCAGGGCGGTCGGCATTTTTTTGGGACTAGGAGGACTGGGAGGCTCGAAGAAAGATGTAGGTCCTGTAGGTATGGATCATGCATGAATGGTGCCGATGCCAGAAGCATAGATTCTCTTTTACATCCTTTTTCTATAATTCCTTGGTTGATCACTGGAAGCAAATTGGATCAACTTGGTATATGGTATACCTCACACGTCTCCCACCTCTCGTCCCCCAGACGTCCACATCTCCAGGCCTCGGGCTACTGGACCCGACCTCCGCCTCGCTTGTGTCCGCCGCCCGCCGCCAGCATCGCACGGCAAGCGAAGGAGGGCGCGGAGAAATTCGGGGCGCGGAGGGCTTCGTGTGGCATCTTTGATCCTGGGGTGGAAGGAATATAGGATATGTCATTTTGCACTTACAGTGGTTTCAGAGGGAGCAGAAGGCACGTTTCCCCCATGATGTCCTAGACAGATGGGGGTCCAGACAAACCACCGACATTGCGGTCTGTGCCATCTATTCTCAATCCACTATCATTGAGTTGATGCATCATTGTAGTCATTGTATAGCTTTCAGAAAGGTGACCGCGCCGCAAGAGCTGATTCAGCGCCGCAAGGAGATGATGACGGGATCTGACGGGCGGTTCTCAACGCTGTTTTTGCTTGGGCTGACATGTAATCATTGCGTTTTTGGTTTCCTCTTGATATCTTTTGATCGTAATTATGTATGATTTTTGGGGGAGTGGTTTCCCAATATCAACAGGGGGTTGAGGCTTCACCCAAGATTGACCGCGACCATTTGCCAGGAGGCAGAACTGTTATCTCCGCAGACATTGTCAGGGACCTCAGCTGGGTTGAGCTGTCTGACAGTCTGACGATCAACACACCATTGGAGGCACAGTTGTGGCATTGAAGCTTGAACATGTTTCGTTGGGAAGGAAGTATCGACATCCATCTACTCGATGAGGAGAGCGTTGCCATTGTGATACCATTTGGGAGCAAACCTCAAACACCCATACGACCCAGATTCGAATCAACATCAAGTGTAACGCTCCGTCCACACCTATAGGATGAAAAAACCAGTGACACAGACGCAAACAAACACTTCGAATATGGGGTGGTGTTGGAAGCTCAAATGGAGAAGTCTTGTATCTCCAAGCTCATCTTTCAAGGCTTTGAGGGTTCGACAGGTCCTTGACAGGTACAGGTGCTGCTTCTGGTCCTTGGGGATCTTGACCCAAGAGTCCAAGTAGATAGAAGATACAGAAGATACCCAAATAGTTATATAAATCGTCATATTACGTAAAACAGTATGTAAAACATATTCACCAACTTTCTCAGGTGCATCGTGAGATGTCTGTCATAAACATCTGTCCTTCCACGGCTGAACAGCTTCCTCCAGGTCCCCCTGGGTCCTACCCGCTGTGGAGAAAGTGGGTGCTCCCAGCGGCCCCATGGCGGAGCACGAAGCGCAGCTGCTGGGCAGGTTGCTCCAAGGCACGATGGCCTGGCCGGACCCGCGGAAGGAGCGGCGAGTTCGATCAAGACAGACCGACAGTTTCTGAAGGTCCGGTGCCTGTCTTGAAGGTCCGGGGCCTGGGAGGCCAAGGTGGTGGGAAGAACAAATTCAACCATTGCCACCCTAGATGAGACCTAAAGCTTGCATGATGTTTTTCCTTTAAAACACACACATTCTATAATATCCCAGACCATCCATGGAATATATATGCCTATAGATGGACCACTCCAATGTAGGTCATACATCGATTCCGAACAGAGAAGGCCGGAAGTTGGGGAAGGTTGGCCACCAGAACGTCATAGCAGCAGTGGATGGTTTCAGATACAGTTCTATGTTTTCAGCCTTTACATGGGATGATTAAACCATATTAAACCCACTGACTCATCTTTATTATTCAAGTGAGCTGAAGCCGCCAGTCAAGGAGGTGAGCCTTGGTTTGGCCATTTCCGGAAAATGGACCTAGGTCCGTTCTCCCATTACGATTGCATTCTGATGAGATGGCAAGGTGAAGTTGATGACGTCAAATGCCACCCAGGAAGAACACTCCCCTTAAGACCATCAGCAAGCCCCGAAAGGAGGTGATTCAGGATGTGTAATATCAATACGAGGATCTTCCGAGGAAACTCCTTTTTGCGTACTTCATTGCCATCGTCGTGGGGCTCCACAATCTTCTGTGCTGTGGCTCAGGGAGACTGGGAGTAGGGTGTGAGACGTTGTGAGTCCCTGTAGTGTTCGACCACGGTGGGCCTTGCGGTGGGAACGCCCGCTGTGGGTGTCCGTTTGGGGACAGCCATGTCCAGCCTTTTGTTGCGCTACCATATGTGCCATAGCTGCAAACGTCGGATGGTGGGGGGGGTGCTCAAGATGATGAACCATAAGTTCATGGTCCACATGGACCAGCGCAAATCATGAGACAGTGCTGAGTTTCCATTACAGTGGTCAATGTCGGGAATGTGGGTGATTGTCAGTCGTATCGGGGGCCGGTCACTGTGGAGCCTATTATGCTCCAGTCGTTCTTTTTGCGGGATGAACCATCCAAAGTTCTCGTTGAAGAACACCAGTGCGACGTTTCATCGCTTTTCCACCATGTCTTTTGACAGCATGGTCCCGTCCCCCCGAAATCTGCACATCCCCAAAGCCATCCAAAGCCTGTCAATTCGATTGCGAGGGACTTTGTGACGTTTGTTTGAGCTTTGATATGATATATTACGGAGACACACCGCTCCCATCCTTCAGAAGAGTCTTGCTCCTGCGACACCCATTTGGATCCCATTTTTGGCCAAGCTCCGCACCACTTTTTCTTCCACGTCGACCACTCGGGCGACATCTTGGCCGTTTTTCTCCCAGGACCTTCATCGATGTGGAGGAGCTTCCCTTGGAGGGTGAGACTCTACGACGCGCCATCAGCTGTCCTCCCCGAACAGAAGAAACCGCGCGCACAGCTTCTGGAGACGTGCTCAGTGGTGCCATTGAGGCTGCATGACCTGGGACCTCCCTGAAGTGGCCGTTTTTGGAGGGGTGCATTCGACAGTGCCACAGTGCCAAGTAAGTAGCTTTTTGACATCTATTGAAACCGCAGAAGGTATGAGAAATCACATTTCCATCACCACAAAATGCTTCGCGTTCAACTGCTGGTGATGGGCATTGCCTGACCAAATTGTGATAACATTACTATTACTGATGGATAGTGATTGATGATTGGTATTGGCTGGTAATTATAGTACATTAACTGGAGAAATTAGTGTTTGTGTGGTGGTTTGAATACTGAGGCCTGTCTCGTACCCAGAAATGCAACTACACACAAATGCGGAAAGAAACTTGAGGTTGTCCCTGGTGCGCCCTTGAGAGACCAAGGGCTTCAAAACTTGAAAGTCTACCATCTACCCCACTAAATTCAGTGTGGACTCGATGAGCCTGTTTTCAACATTTTTAGATGTTTTGTGATGTCTGGTTGCCCAGTTCACCCCACAACGAGGCCCTCGTCTCGTTCTCCCGGTCGACTGCGGCAGGCGCTGGAGAACGAAGAGGTCTACCGCCTTCAGGTGGAACGGCTGGTTGCACGGGCAGAGGCCACCGTCCCGATGTCGGGCGGGATGGGGCGCCGGAAGGTGGAAACGCCATGGGTGGACGTCGACGTCGAATGCAATGGGTGTTGCATGGCTGTGGCACCTGGGCCGAGTCCTTGGCACCTGAGGTGAGTCTCATAGAAACTCAATTAAGGCTTGAATTGTGAGTGAGTGATGGATCTTCTTTGCATACTCCGCAGAAAACCAGACTGGGTCCGAAAAGGGTGCTGTTTTTGGGCTCTCTCGATAGGCGAGAGGTCCAATTGGTGTAAACATTTGAATGAGGGGAATGCTTGGATGTCACAGTTGAGCAAACAGGATACACTCTAGACTCTAACATGGACCCTGAGAATGGCACCCTGAAGACTGCTTTCCTCTATAAACCAGTAGTTTTCAGGGTCCATTTTGGTTTTCAGCGGGGTAGGATGTAGGTTTTCCTAGGGCCTTGAGCTTTGAGTGTATTCTCCCACTGGTCCCACTCAAAATGTGTTTGCCATTGTTTGGCAACACCCAGAAAGATCACTGGGGTTTCAAGAGGATTTGACCGTTCAATCCACAATTGTTCGAATGTACACGAGAACCTCTGGTGGCTCTGCAGGTCACGCGCCCTACACCCCTCGCCAGGTCTTGCCCAAGCACTCGCCCGACATGACGGCAGAGACGGCTGCGGAGACGGAAGAGGTGACGGCGGAGACGGACGAGGGAGAGGCAACGGAGGTGACGGAGATGGACACGGACGACGAGGCGCTGCCCTCGCTGGGCAGTTGGGGACACCCCGAGCTCTGCCGCAGGCGCGGACGGACGGGACACGGTGGGACTGGAGGTGAATGAGGTGAAGGTGAGTTGGGAAGTGTGCTGTGGATGCCGGGGAGAGGCATGCAGGCGAAAAGCATACGCATACTGGCATCCAGCCACTTGAATTACATGGGTGAAGTGAAGAGAAGAAGATCAATCTATGGGATTTTCCAAGTTCATTAGTTCATCCGCTAGTATCCCCAAATAACGCCTGCAGAAAAACACAGCTGTGAATGAGACCTATTCAGTGTATGGATCTTTCAGTTCTTAGCATCCTTCGCCAGGCCGTGTGTCTTTTGGGTAAAGCAACAGAGCTGCGCAGCTGGTGCCAACTGCAACTTCTGTCACCTGGAACATCAGAAGCTGGTTTGCTTGGACAAGAAGCAGCGCATCATCATGGCGGAGCCTTGACAAGAACGGAGAACCTGCAGTGTTTTAGCTAGCATGTTTCTTGTTTAAGTTTCGTATGCATTGCGACATCTGGCTTCACTCAATTGTTTGGATGTTGAGCTTTAGTCAACCTCTTCAATCCACCAGAGCTTGTCAGAATACACAGTAGGCCCACAGTCTCGTCGCCTGACCCACGACGCCAGCCGCAGCAAGCCTACGCAGGACCTCACCGACGCAGAGAAGAGCCTCTTGATCCTTCCCCACGTGCGGTTGAAGGCACCGCCCCGCGGCCCGCGGGCGCCGCGCGGAACCACCGAACGAACGACCTCGCGGACCCGCCGTTGGTGCTGGGGGTCGAAGAAGGGCTGAAGGAGGTGGTCGATTTGATCGGTGGGGAGTCAGGTGGTCTGACCAGGTCGAAAGGGATAGGATTTAGGAGATTGTTGGACATGTTTTCCCTAAACTAATGGACAACCAGTGCACCATGAAACCACAGACTCAACCACCGTTTTTCTTGTACAGTAGATCAGGTTGCAGGATTGGCGGCATTCTTCTAAATCCGTTGCCCACCTAGACAGTCGGAGTACGGCTTAGTCAAAAGCATATCCCTTTCGTTGTACTCAACCTTCTAGAATCTATATAGAACCATTTGATGCTGATTCACCAAAAGACCAGACTGAGACTTGTCTTGTCTTCATCTATGGAACCACACTCCTCTCTTGCACCTGGGTCAATGATGGGAGAGACTTTGATCCAATTTTGACACACCCTGTGCAGACTAGTCCCTCAGCAGGACCGACTGAGGCGCTTGTAGGCTTCGACTGAGGCTTAGAAGGCTGCTTAGAGCCCAAAAGAGACATCCTCTACGATAATTGACACGCTTCCACACGGTGGTGTGCTTTGGAGTTCCTTTAGCTCATCAACCGCCGTGGCTTCCCCTTTTAAAACATCCATGCTTCCAGGTCGAGGAAGGCCTTCCGGTCGAGTGCCTCGGCGACTACCACACAGAGGGACGGCACAGTGGATCGGAGGGACCGGACGGTGGCAGAACACCATGCTACAAGGTGGAAAGGCTGGTCCTCACACCATCTCACACCCCTTGTGGAGGAACATGTAACATGATGGAACATGGTTCCATCCCAGCACAGGCATCAATCATGTCGATTCCTTCCAAAGCCGCAAGTTCTGCTACTCTTTCGATCTTGTTTTCTTTGCGAGTGGATATATCTGATATATATATATTTATATATTACATATTATATATATATATATTCATTTTGAACATGTTCAGCTCTTGTCATGTTTATCTGCTTGTCCTTGGTTCCGCCTTTTTGAAGAATCACGTCTGACCTGCTTGGAAGAACGGGACAAAAGGGATCCGATCCGACCCACCGACCCGATTGTCCGGTTCGGGCCGGTCGGATGGAGCGAAGATGCCCAGTAGGAGAGAGAGAGAGAGAGAGAGAGAGAGCAGGCTAGTTGCTTCCTAGCCTGGCCAGTAGTTGATGCATGTTCTGCCACCTGTGACTGGGCGCCCAGTACTTGAACTCCGCTTTTCACTCCGTACGTACTGAATAGATCACGAACATTACTGCAGGGCGTGCAATGTTCGTGCCGCCAAGGCATTTGCTTCATCTTCTCGAACGCGAAGCTCAAGCAGTTGCCGACACATCTCCCAATGCCAAAGACAAGGCAAACCTCAATAAGGCGCCATGCAGCCAACCACA